GCCAATATGTGTCGCTAATGGGGCAAGCTCTTCCGCACAACCAGTTACAGTTGGTGTCCCACAGAGAAGTGTCCTTGGCCCTCTTTCTTTCCCCTTTATACATAAATGACCTACAAATGCTTCGCAATTATTTCAAACCCACACTTTTTGCAGTTTGACACCACTTTCGTCTTCTCTCACCGAGCCCAGTCCGCTAGCCAATACTGTAAACACCGAACTACAGAAAATATCTCCCTGGATGAGGACTAACAAACTTACACTAAACATTGACAAAACTACTTCATTCAGTTTGGTAGCAGAGCTACAGTTTGTACCTCTTAACATAACGAAAAAACGGATCCCCTATCACAAAGCTAATAGAGGGAAAATTCTTAGGAATCCCCCTCGATAATAGACTCAAATTCATACACATATACAACAAATTTTTAAGAAAATTTCCAAGACTGTAGGCATACTATCGAAGATACGGTACTATGTTCCACAGTCAGCCCTCCTGACCCTTTATCACTCTCTTATTTACCCCTATCTCACTATGGAATTTGTGCAGGGGGCTCAAAAAACAACTAACCATCTCAGACCACTAATTACCCAACAAAAGGCTGCAGTTAGAATGATAAAAAATTCTCACTACAGGCAGAAACACTCCAACCAATATTCAAAACACTAAAACCTACTCCCCATACAAAAACATCCATACTTATTATTGACTTATTACATACATAGAAACTTAACTCTGATATTAACCCTCCCTCAAACATCTCCTTGCCAACTCAACAGAACACATGACCATAATACAAGGCACAGATCACTCTTTGATGTTCCTCGTGTCCATCTCACGCTATGCAAAAAACTCAAGGGCACAAAAAGGTCCAAAAATCTGGAATTCATTACCTTTAAATATAAAAGAAACACTACCTGTTATAAATTCAAGTCTCTTCTCAAAGTTAAACTTACTCACTCAAAACCAAATAAATATGAATAACTGAACCATATAAATTGTATATCCTAAATGTTACTCACATTATATCACACAAATGTTAAACCTAACTTTGTTATTTTTTTTAAATACACTACCTAACAGAATACTCCATTCTATGCATGCAATGCATGCAAGCATGGGCCCTGTCTTTGTAATACTCATTTGTATTTTATAGTTATCTGTTAACAATAATGTCTTATCACTGATTTCATCATTGCTTAGTTAATCTTAAGTTAATTTTAAGCCAGCCTGTAATGCTATGCATATAAGTGGCTTTGGCATGCTGCTCTTACCTGTATTTTTTGTACCTCTGTTTGTATGCTAAATTTCTAAATAAATAAATAAATAAAAAGATGTGGTAGCCAGATAGCTTGTACAAGTGATGCCAAGAATAACATATTCTCTAATCTAACATAAGAGAAAATGTGTTACTGGGGGTAACTGTAGAAAATTATTCCTTTCGTATGTATGTAAGTAAGTTTATTCAGGTATACACAAACACAGTTACATAGATTATCATACATAACAGCATATGTGTAGAGAACCCAGGATAACCCAAAAAAGTCTGACTGAGTGACTTATTTCCATTGCCTTCACTCAGAGCGTCATTTCTTCTAAAAATGATGTTACATGAGATTGGGAGTGTTCTTCTTTATTTATTCTACCGTATCAATGTAGGGGACAACCTGTACACAATGTAACTTGTACACAAACCAGATGTGTACACTTTGTTGTTTACAAAACTTACCTTCGCCTGGCTTGTTTACATAACTCTGCACCTGTCCTCTCTCATGCACTCATTCTTTCTTCTCATTTATTGTTTTATCTCATTTACTTACTCTTGACCCTCATTAAGACTACAAATTTTTTAAAGGTAAGTAATGAGTGAACTGTATATACTTTTATTGCTTGGGATGCTTATAATCATAGAATATATGTGTGGGTGGGTTGGCCTGGTGTGGTAGCCCGGCTGACTACCATACATACCACACTTGATTTTTTACAAAAAATACTACTCATCTCACCCTAGATTAAGACTACAAATATTTAAGGTAAGTAATGAGTAAATGTATATGCATTTTATCGCTCTGGGATGCTTAAATGTAATAGAATATTATGTGTAGATGGGGGTGGCCTGGTATGGTAGCCCGGCTGACTACCATACATACCACACTTGATTTCTTACAATAAATACTACTTGTCTCACCCTAGATTAAGAATATAAATATTTTAAGGTAAGTATTGAGTGCACTATGTGTGTATTGTACATTTTTATTGTTTTTTGATGCCTAGTTCTATTGCTAACTTAATGTATGTTAGTGTAAAGTTGTTATCTAGTATTTGTATGCATTTATAAGTGGAAAAAAAAAGGGTGTTTCCACTTTCCCGGCGATTTCCGCTTTACGGCGGTAGCCTGGAACCTAACCTGCCATATAAGTGGGGCCCTACTGTATTGGTTAATAAATATAATAAAAAACCAAGGCAGGGTGACTCAAAAAAGAAGAGACACTCATCATTACTCATTCCATTACTGTCTTGCCATAGATGAGCCAATACTACAGTTAAAAAAAAACTGCAACATGTCTTCACCCCTCCTTCACACTGCAACAGCTCGTCAGGTTCCAAAAACCACTTTCTGCACTCCTATGTAACACACACATGCCTGCTGGATGTCCAGGCCCCTTGTACACAAAACCTCCTTTACCCAAGTCATCCTATTTTGCTCCATCCTCTCTAAACAACTAAACCCTCTTCAACAGCCCCTCCTCAGCCCTCTGAATAAGACTTTTAGTTATTGCGTTTTTCCTCAATTTCCAAACTACAAATTCTCTGCATAATATTTACATTTCAGAGATCATGTTATCAAATCATAAACTAATTTATGTATAAAATCAGATAAATATTCTATTAAAAACATGAGAAACTTTGTTTTATTTGCATTTTTTTTATGTTTCAGAGTGGTTTGAGAAGTGTTCTGTATTCACACCCAGCCATTATTTTTAGAGCCTCTTTTTCAGGAATATTTCTGTCCCCCCCCCCCCCCCAAAAAAAAAAAAAAAGTGTTTTTGTCAGTCTCTCAGTTGGTGCCTTGACCCCTTAACCCCTTGAGGGTCCGTGCCTTAGATCTATGGCTTTACGTTGAGGGTCCAAACCGTAGATCTACGTCATGAGCTTAGCTCACTCTGATAAGCTGTGAGCGGTAAATTTTGGCCTTGATATGAGAGAATACATCTGTGTGGTATGTGTGCACCACATAAAACAAATCCTGCAGCACATAGGGCATAATGAGAGAAAAAAAACTGAGACCGTAATTTTCGATTAAAACTGCAAATTTGCAGTGTTTTTTCGTATGTTTTTATAGTTGTATTTGCAATTTCTTGGTCTCATTTGATAGAATGGGAGACATATTACAAAAAAAAAAAAGATGATTTTGATTGGTTTAGTACTGGAAAGACTTGAAACTGAGCTCAAAGTAGCGGAAATGTTAAATTTTTGCCCAAAGTTCAAGAGAAAACAAATGACCTCACACGTCTAATACACGCCTGCTGGTGGGTCTAATATATGTTCACAAATGTGCTGATATTATTTATACAGTTATTACAATATTGTATAACAGTAAATCTTCTATTTTTTGGTTTGAATAAAATTCATTATGTGAATAAAAAAATAAAAATGGAATTCGTTAGTAAAGCCTGAAAACATAACGAATGAACAGAGGAAATGTTAGTTTAGTGCAGGAATGCCTGTATTGTTTATTCTGGACCCTATTTTGAAATTGGAGTATTTTGAACTTTGCATTAAATTGGCCAAATTGCCAATTTCCATCACTTTATTTTGTGTTGAAACAGTTGACTTGGCGAATTCTTGTGGTCAATCGATAGAATAGAGTAATACTAGTGAAATAGCTAAGAAATTGGTCAACTGGATAATGTAAATTGGCCTATAATGGGAGTCGAAGTCCGCAAAATCCCCCGATGTGTAAATGTCGCTGACACATCAAAATTCGCGAGAGCATAATTTCGTCAATTTTCCCTCAAATTTGTTACTTTTTGTTTTATTACCTTCAGAAAAAGATTCTCTACCATTTCATAAGAAAAAATAACAAAATTATTTTTTGAAAATTCTTGGACACTGGTGTGCACTTTGAAATTTGGGCCCCTGGACCCTGAAAGGGTTAAGCATCTTAATAGTTTTGAAAAAAAAAATTTAGAGGGGAGGGAATCTATATAAACGACATGACACTACGGCAGACACGATAGTTCAGTGAGAGGGTGGAAAGTGGGTGCCCGGTGGGACTTTTGATTGTTCTCACCTGCTTGTACAAGGGATTTTCTCCTAAACTTCTAAAGACATAGCTTTAATGGATTTATGGGTTCAACTTTACTGAACCTTTTCATCTCAAGACATAAAAAAAGAAAACCCGATTTATTTTTCTAGGGCTAGAATGTTTTTGAACTTTGAGCTATTGAGGGCTGAAAATTACGAATAGTTGGGGAAATTTTTTAAAGCACTGCGAATTTTTCGTAGCACTTCATATTTTCTTACCCAGATGTAATATTTATCTTGCTGTTTTGTTTAAGGAATTTTAAACAATATTTCTAATTTTTTTGCAAATTTAAAACAAATTATAATCAAAGAATAAAAGAAAATTCCTGTGTGACTTATTTAAAAAAAGTTGGTGTGAGATGTGTACAGTTCTAGATGCATTTATTTACCAACTAAAATATGGGTTTTTTAAATAAGTGGTCATTTTTGTAGCTAAAATGAATGTTTATTAAATTTAAATGGTCATTTAGCAGCTAAAATAAGTGGGCATTTTAAAAGCTAAAATGATTGGTCATTTAATTTTAGCTATTTATTTTTCTTTGTCAATGAAAATTTACAAGTTATCACTTTAGCAGTTTGGAAGATAATTATTTAGTAACCTTATTGTAATGTTAAGTTCCCCTTTTTATTTGTCCAAGAACTACTGAGCCCTTTAGCTCAATTTTTTTTCTTTCAAATCACAGATGTATCTATCTTCTAAGTTATTTATTTGCCTCTTTTTTGCAGAAGTCCTCAGGTTCAAGACTTCAACAACATGTACTTGTCATGGTCACAGTTTTGTAAGGAGCCACTAACTGAGCGCAACTTTACCTTCTGGGAATGGTTCTTTGCTGTTATGAAGGTATTAAATATATGTTGAGGATTAAGAATTTTTTTTATATATATATATTTTTTTTCAATTGAAACTAACTTTTGCACTCCATGGGGAGGTAGAGAAGAATGCTTCTTTCATAAGCCATGTGTGTCATAAGAGGTGACTAAACTCCCAGTAACAAGGAGTTGGTAATCCCTTCTGTGTAAATTGCTAAATGTAAAATGAAAATATATATATGTGTATGTGTACTCAACTAGTTGTGGTTGCAGGGGTCGAGTCACTGCCAAGGAGCTCTGGGAGTAATAACTTTCCACACACATCCTCACTGGGTTAACACAGATTGTGCATCGTTATTCTCCTATAACTCTCCTATCCACACACATCCTCACTGGGTTAACACAGATTGTGCATCGTTATTCTCCTATAACTCTCCTAACCTTGAAACGGTCAAACGGTATATATACATTCACTTGCGCAGCGGCCCGAATATTTTGAAAAAAAAAAAAATTATAGAAAAAAGAGCACAAGGTACTAAGTGACCCATTCTATGCTGACCAGGCATCTCAGGGAAATCGTGCCAAATTTGAAGGCAGGAAAATTAAAACATATACATGTATATAGGTTTGGACCGTTTAGGGGTTAAATATTTTGCCACACGCTACAAAAATTGGTGCATTATCCCCAAAACGTTAATTTGACTGGAAACCCCCAGCTGTAAATTTCTGAAACAACTGTATAAACTTCTGCAGACAAGTCCCGAGCCACTTCTAAATGAACTACCCTAGTAGCGGTGCAAGTAAATAAGCATACATATCTTTGGGAACACCATCGAATTTCCCCTGTTCAAGTAATGGGACCACTATAGTCCAACCTGTTACCGCAAATGGTTTCGGTCAATCTGTACACATTCCCTTGGTATTGGTGGAGCACCTGGGTGGGGTTACATTACAGTGATTAGTCATGGCATTATGCCAAAGCGAGTGCCCCTGCATAATGCCATGACGAAAATTGAAGGCCTACCATACAGGGAGGGTCTTTTTTCATCGGTGCATTATGCCGAGTAGTAGCCGTTAGTGTGACATCATGGCCTGCTACCACGCTCCACAGTGACTCCTCAGTGCTCACGTGGCTGCCACGATGAGAAGAAGTGTTGCACTTTTGTCTCTCGTCTGCCCCATCTTTTGTCTGGTGTTCCCTTTGGTTTTGGGGCTATACAGGTCTCCCTCAACATTCGCATTTTCCACTTTCGTAGTCTTCGAACATTCGCGAATTCCCACTGCCCAGTCATATTTAAAATGTCATTACATATGTTAGGAGTTGTGGCAGTGGCAGAGTTTGTTTGGAGATAGGACAATATCAACTCTACAGTTTTTTTTCTTCTTTCAACACACCGGCCGTATCCCACTGAGGGCGGGGTGCGCCCTCTCTAAAGGAAAAACGAAAGTTTCTCCTTTTACATTTAGTAATATATACTGGAGAAGAGGTTACTAGCCCCTTGCTCCCGGCATTTTAGTCGCCTCTTACAACACGCATGGCTTACAGAGGAAGAATTCTGTTCCACTTCCCCATGGAGGTAAGAGGAAATAAACAAGAAACAAGAAACTAGTAAGGAAAAAATGGAAAAGAAAACCAGAGGGGTATGTTTAAACATATTTGCTTGTTCATGTATGTGTAGTGTGACTAAGTGTAAGTAGAAGTAGCAAGATGTACCTGAAACCTTGCATGTTTATGAGACAGAAAAATGGACACCAGCAATCCTACCATCATGTAAAACAATTACAGGTTTTCGTTTTACACTCACTTGGCAGGACGGTAGTACCTCCCTGGGCGGTTGCTGTTTACCAGCCTACTACCTAGGTGCGGCTTATTTATCTATCACAATTCATCTAATATGACATAATAAACAATATTAATAGCATAGAAACATGATATATACTTTAGAATGAATAAAATATGTCATTAAGTATATTAGGAATTGTGGCAGTGGCAGAATTTGTTTGGAGATTGGACAAGATAGTCTTTCAATATGACACTAATATCAACTCTCCGGCTTATTTATCTATCACAATTCATCTAATATGGCATAATAAACAATATTAACCCTTAAACTGTCCAAACGTAGATCTATGTTTTTTCAACATTTGAAAGTATGTAAAAAAATGTAGGTTTTTTTTTTTTTTTACATTTGAAAACATGTACAAAAAACTTTCATCTATTTTTTTGTTGTTGTACAGTGGACCCCCGCTTTACGATCAGCTCCCAATGCAACCAATTATGTAAGTGCGTTTGTACGTGTATGTTTGGGGGTCTGAAATGGACTAATCTAATTCACAATGTTCCTTATGGGAACAAATTCGTTCAGTAATGGCACCTGAACATACTTCTGGAATGAAATAATATCGTAAACTGGGGGACCACTGTATTTGAAAATATGTAAAAAAAACGTAGATCTACTTTTGGAGCACTACGCATGTGAACATAGATCTGTTTGGACAGTTTAAGGGTTAATAACATAGAAACATGATATATACTCTAGAATGAATAAAATACGTCATTAAGTATGTCACGAGTGTTGCTGTGTTGTTGTTGTTGGGTGTATAAGGGCCACTGAAAGCATAAGCCGTGCATATTGGTGGTGAAGGCAGCAGAAACGGCGGTGTTCTCAGTCGCCCTATACAGTGGACCCCCGCATACCGATTTTAATCCGTGCAAGAGGGGTCATTGGTATGCGAAATAATCGGTATGCGAATGAATTTTCCCCATAAGAAATAATGGAAATCAAATTAATCCGTGCAAGACACCCAAAAGTATGAAAAAAAAAAATTTTTACCACATGAAATGTTAATTTTAATACACACAAACTGAAAGAGGCATGCACACTTACATGACACTTACTTTTATTGAAGATCTGGTGATGATTGATGGGATGGGAGGAGGGGAGAGAGTTAGTGTTAGTGTTTAGAAGGGGAATCCCCTTCCATTAAGACTTGAGGTGTCGAGTCCTTTTCTGGGGTTACTTCCCTTCTTCTTTTAATGCCACTAGGACCAGCTTCAGAGTCACTGGACTTCTTTCGCAACAACATATCTGTCCATAGTGGCCTGTACCTCTCGTTCCTTATGACTTCCCTAAAGTGTTTCACAACATTGTCAGTGTACAGCTTGCCAACACGGCTTGCAATAGCTGTGTGAGGGTGATTTTCATCAAAAAAGGTTTGCACTTCAAGCCACTTTGCACACATTTCCTTAATCTTTGTAGTAGGCAACTTTTCAATTTCTCTCTCCCCTCCTCTGAACCAGTTTCCTCAGGTCTGGCCTCTTGCTTTTGAAGTTGATCTATCAGCTCATCAGTGGTTAGTTCTTCATTGTCCTCCTCCACCAACTCTTCCACATCCTCCCCACTAACCTCCAACCCCAAGGACTTTCCCAATGCCACAATGGATTCCTCAACTGGCATAATCCTCTCAGGGTTAGCCTCAAACCCTTCAAAATCCCTTTTGTCTACACATTCTGGCCACAGTTCCTTCCAAGCAGAGTTCAAGGTCTTCTTCGTCACTCCCTCCCAAGCCTTACCTATAAGGTTTACACAATTGAGGATATTAAAGTGCTCTCTCCAAACTCTCTTAGAGTCAGTTGAGTTTCTGAGGTCACTACAAAGCACCTTTCAACAGAGCTTTTAATGTACAGTTTTTTGAAGTTTGCAATAACCTGCTGGTCCATGGGCTGCAGGAGAGGATGGTATTAGGAGCAAAAACTTCACCTTAATGAATTTCATGTCCCCCATAAAGTCGCTCTGCCACGTCTGAAGGATGACCAGGGGCATTGTCTAACACCAGAGGCACTTAAGTTCTAATTTCTTTTCAGTTAGGTAATCTTTCACATTGGGGGCAAATGCATGGTGTAACCAGTCATAGAAAAAGTCCCTAGTGACCCATGCCTTACTGTTTGCCCTCCACACACACACAAATTCTCCTTGAGGACATTCTTTTGCCTGAACGGTCTGGGAGTTTCTGAGTGATACACTAATAAAGGCTTAACTTTGCAATCACCAGTAGCATTGGAACACATCAACAAGGTAAGCCTGTCTTTCATAGCTTATGTCTGGAGTGCCTTTTTCCTCCTGAGTAATGTAGGTCCTGCTTGGCATTTTCTTCCAAAACAGGCCTGTTTCATCACAATTAAACACTTGTTCAGTTTTCAGTCCTTCAGTCCTCTATGTACTCCTTGAATTCATGCACATATTTTTCAGCCGCTTTGTGGTCCGAACTGGCAGCCTCACCATGCCTTATCACACTATGTATGCCACTACGCTTCTTAAATCTCTCAAACCAACCTTTGCTGGCCTTAAATTCATTCACATCAGCACTAGTTGCAGGCATTTTTTTAATTAAATCCTCATGCAACTTCCTAGCCTTTTCGCTTATGATCGCTTGAGAAACGCTATCTCCTGCTAGCTGTTTTTCATTTATCCACACCTATAAGAGTCTCTCAACATCTTCCATCACTTGCGATCTTTGTTTCGAAAACACAGTTAAACCTTTGGCAAGAACAGCTTCCTTGATTGCCTTTCTGGTGCCCACAATAGTAGCGATGGTTGATTGGGGTTTCTTGTACAACCTGACCAGGTCGGCGATACGCACTCCACTTCATACTTATCATGATCTCTTTCTTCATCTCTATTGGAATTCTCACCCTTATTGCTGTAGGGTTGGCACTAGAAGCTTTCTTGGGGCCCATGGTCACTTATTTTCCAGAAAAAGCACCGAAAACACTGTAATAATACGAAATATTCCGATTGTATGCTTGGATGTTACCGCGGAGGCTGGCTGGTAAACAATGCCACCGGCGGCACATGTGAGGCTGGCTGAGGGCGCACATTGGACGCGTCTTGGACGAAAATCGGTGAGCGGGTTTTTAAGCGGTATGCGAGGCAAAAATTTTGCGATTAAAGCAAGCGGTATGCGGATTAATCATTATGTGATGACATCGGTATGCGGGGGTCCACTGTATACCTCCAACAACATTGGAGG